ACTTAGGAGAATTAATCCTCGAAAAGCTAGCGGGCCTGATGGTATCCCAAACTGGTTGTGTAAAACGTATGCCGAGATACTCGCAAAACCAGTCTGTAATATTATCAATGTAATATTATCAATTCTTCCTTTGATGAACAGAGATTACCGTCAATGTGGAAACATGCTGACATCATCCCAGTCCCGAAGGTAAAACCAGCCACTGATGTCAACAAACATTTGCGACCGATCTCCTTGACGCCATCAATCTCTAAAGTTGCAGAAGAATTTGTGATCACAAAGTACATAGCGCCTGCTATAATGAATACATTAGATCCGGATCAGTACGGGGCCATACCAAAGTCCTCTTCAGTGCTTGCCCTGATCTCAATGGTCCACGAATGGTCCCAAGCTACAGACAAATCTGGCGCAACAGTCAGAGTAACTCTTTTTGATTATAGAAAGGCATTTGACCTAGTTGACCATTCCATCCTAATTAAAAAATTTCAAAACCTGACGTCATTACCCCGAAAGGTATGCTCCTGGATAACCGACTTTTTGTCCAACAGATACCAAAGAGTGAAGCTTGCTGACGCCCTTTCGTCATGGAGACACGTCCCCTCAGGAGTACCCCAAGGCACCAAGTTAGGCCCCTGGCTATTTCTTCTAATGGTGAATGACCTACGTGTGAACAGCGTCAGTACGTGGAAGTTTGTTGACGACACGACAATTTCGGAAATCATTCCAAAGAATTCCCTTACCCACACTCAATCCGCTACCACGTCTGTTGAGAAATGGTCTGCAGACAACAAACTGCACTTGAACGCAGAAAAATGCAAGGACCTGAGGATTGACTTTAAGCGTGTTCATCAGGAGTTTGACCCAATTGAAGTAGACAACGTTCCACTCAAAATAGTGGACCACGCAAAAATCCTGGGCCTGATAGTCTCAAACTCATTACAATGGAACCTCCATGTCGACCATGTCATCAAGAAAGCGAACAAACGTCTGTATTGTCTGGTCCAACTCAAACGTGCAAATGTTCCTGACGCAGATATTGTTAACTTTTATTGTACCTGTATTAGACCCACTCTCGAATACGCATCACCGGTATTCCACCACTCTTTACCAAAGTACTTGTCTGACGATCTTGAGCGAGTACAAAAACGATCCAGAGGGCAGCCATATTCAGAGAGCCTGCAGCAATCTGGACTAAACTCCTTATCGGTCCGAAGACAAAGACTGTGTGAAAAGCTTTTTCTTAAAATATCAACTGACAGTGACCATAAACTCCATGCACTGCTGCCGCCAAAACACCAAGCGAAATATAACTTAAGACACAAACGCCACTATGCTCTTCCAATGACTAACACTAACCGCTTTAGGAACACTTTTGTGCCATCTATGATATATTATAATAATTTAGTAGGCTAACATGTCTAATATTTAAATTTATATACTATTGTAAAAATCTACGTAATTCAGCCAAAGTGGCTGCAAAGTGGCTTTTAATAAAATATATATCTATCTATCTACCTTATAGAATCTTGCTGCTCAAATGAAGTATATGGTGAAAAATTGAGATGAAAATGTCATTTTTGTTGCCAATTTTTGTCCAAATGAAAACATTGTGCAACTTGTGTTGTAGTCAGTGGTGGATTAATACTACACATTCTTTAATGCTTAGTATTTGAGAACAAACTTAATGCGTTAACAAAACTATCTTCCAGTATGTCTTGTTAACCGGTTAACTAGCAATGCATTGAGATGCATCTATAGATATATATTTATACCTGCAACATTCGAAATGGACTATATTTGACAGATCAGCAGAGAACATGCTGTATACACCAAACTTGGCATTGTGTTCCATCTCCACACCAAGAAGCATTGGAAATGTTCTTCAATATCCTGATCATGTTGTTTCTGCAATTGGTTCAAAATAACCGAGAATAAAAACTTGATTTGATGGTGAAAGAATGTTCTGGCAGAATAAACTGTAAGACCCATGTGTTTGAAAATCAGCAAAACTTTACTGATAGATCCACCAGCCATTAGCACCGCAAAGCTGAGCAAGATGTTTCCAGCTGGTATGTTCTGAGGACCAAAAGCTGGCTGTGCCACTGTAACCTTTACCACATATCTTGCACTCTTGATCCACTGTAGCCATTGTTCCATATACTTTCATTGACACAGATGGCAGATCTGATTTGCAATTGAAGCAGAACTTGGAAAACAGGGTCATCAGCAACACTCTCCTCATCATGGCAACACTCTCATCTCTCTCATATGTATGTAATAGCTAAATATTAGGCTGTTGTAATAGTTTTAAAAAATGAAATGCTGCAGACTATTCATCATACTGTTCAAAACACCATACCTCATTTCTCGCTTCTTTTTCTGCTTTGTCATCATCTGATGTATAAGCATCATACTCCCTATCAGGGTCATCATCGTGAACACCTGCATCATTATCATCATCTGAGGATGAATCTTCATCCATGCTAACATCAGAAGCAGATGGGTTTTTGTTGGCATCACTCACTGGATCGTTCACAACCATTTCATCCTTTTGTCACAATTTTCGTTTGGCTTGCAAAGACAAAAGCCATAAATCGCTAGAATACTTTTGTTTAGTAGAATACTGTTTACTAGAATACTGTTGACATCTGTAATTAGTACAATTTCTAATGCTGAATCAAATGGTGGTGTTTTTATCCTTATTGTGCCATTAGGCATTACAAATACAAGGACTACCAAACATACTGAGTGATTTGTCAACAATATGTATTGCGAGCGATTTGTCAACAATACAATTTCGCTTGATTTTCAAAGGTCGCTAGAATACTGGTGTTTAGTAATACATTTGACATCCGTAAGTACAATTTCTTATGCTGAATAGAACGGTGGTATTTTTATTCTTATTGTGCCAATAGGCATTACAAATACAAGGAGAAACGGTAGTGCAAGTGATTTGTCAACAATATGCACTGTGAGCGATTTGTCAACAATACAATTTTGTTTGATTCTCAAAGGCCATAAATCACTAGAACATTGGTGTTTAGTAATACACTTGACATCCGTAAGTACAATTTCTTATGCTGAATCGAACAGTGGTATTTATACAAATACAATATCATATTTCACACAATATAATTTTGGGTTCTTGCTCGTTGTTGGTATCTTGTGAAACGACAATATCAGCTACATCCAACACCGTATCATCGTCGATATCCATGTCGCTTGCAGGGGTTGCCATTGACCCAGAACCAAATGAGAAATCAAGCAGTTGGCTAATAGTATGTGCATGCTACATATGTAAATAAAACACATACTGTATTTGCACATTACATTTAAATCATATCTCAGTGATCAATGTACATATCATAATCTTGAAACATCCATGCAACACAAGAGAACAGCACACAAACAATCAGATCCTTATAAAACATATTCACACACATATATGCATCATATTGAGATATTATATTTACCATTCGGTTTTGATGCTTTGAAACTGGTGTTGGTTTCAATTTATCCGTTTCCAGCGGAACAGCATTGATTGTTGGCAGAGCATCTGGCTTTAAATATCTTGCTTTTGGTCTGAGATGTTCTGGGATATCCAGAGATACTTAGACTAGTGTCATATTCTACACATCTAAAGTGGAACCATTGCCCACAGAGATCGCATAAAATCATGTTGTTATATTCTTCTGGCAGTTTACATTCACATAAAGTCGCGATTGTGACGTTCTTGTGTTGTCTTGGCTTTGTTGCTGGTTTTCAACATGCTTGGGGGAAGTAGGTCAGTTCTCTATTCTCAAAACAGGAAAGAAGATGGCTACTTATACTATAGCTATTCAATCATTGCATGTTTATGTCACTTATATTATAATAATATCAATAACATATAAAAACAATCACTTGCAAATTTTATCAATAGCAGTGTTAACAATAGCCACCACAGTAATCACTTGCTAACAATAATTGTGTTGGGAAGCATATTGACTATTGTCCATTGAATCATCAACTTTCCATGTCTGTGTCAGTGATGTAATCTTGATTCTTGACTTCCGCAAAGAAAATTGCATTATATATATATGTGGTGTGGTTTATTCAAATAATTTCATGATACTTTGATTTTATTAGTGCCTTAAACATTTGAGAATGTAACTCCGAAAAATTAAAAGCTTTTTTGTCTTTTTTTAAACGTATATTATTGGAGTATTGCCTATTGGCAAGTTATACCCTACGCTTCTGAGATTTACAAACTATATTGAAATAATGCAAGTAAAAGATAATGACAATTTATAAGCCATACCGCCGCATTTTCCGATAAACGACAAAACGTGGATACAAAACAATACCAATAATTACAATGAACATGGAATATTTGCATAGCATGACCAAATTGTCGGGCTGGCTTCGCCACTGAGTTTAACACTGAAAATAAGTCCTATTGATCATAAGTCCTATGGATCTACTGTAATCAATACATGTGATTGTAAATTTGTATTCTTACAGGGCCTGAAATAACATTCCAAAAGTTCCCAATCATAGTGATCGGCGGTCATGACTTTCCCCGCTTTCTTCAGGTTGGAAACCGAAACCCTGCTTTTCCGCAGATAATATGCAATTCCTTGCCGATCATTGATCAGTGATCGGTTGTTATTTCAACCTCTGTCTTACCTTGTGAATTGATACTGATTTCAAATATTAAAGCCATGTCATAATTATCCAATGCAACTGTTAGGAAGGGCGAAATTTTGAACAGAAGAAAAGAAAATCCTAAAGGTGTAGTTTGGGGTGAATTTCCTAAAGGGGGGAGAAATTTTTACATAGACTATAAACCAATCAACTATAGACCAATCTCTGTGTTGTCAGTACTGTCAAAAATTGTGGAACGCTATTACGGATTACATCTCATAAGCTATCTTAATGAACACAACTTACTTACAAGCTCACAATTTGAATCACAGCCCCTTCATTCCTGTCAAACAATGTTACTGCAACTTACAAACATGTTACTTCATAGCATGGACAAAGGTGAACTAAGTGGAATACTTTTAGTAGATTTCCGGAAAGCTTTTGACCTGATAAACCACAAACTTCTCCTACAGAAACTTGCTATCTACGGACTTAAAGACACAACACTACAATGGTTCAGATCCTACCTGACAGAACGGAAACAACTCGTCTCAATTGGCCACTCAACCTCAGATCTCTTACCAGTTCGCAGTGGCATCCCGCAAGGTTCATCTCTTGGGCCTCTCCTCTTCATCCTATTTATCAATGACATCCCTCTTGCAAATACTCAATGCAATTCCTCTATCTATGTTGATGACACTACTTTAGCCAATGCTGGACCAACAATCAATACGGTACGGACACACTGGCAATCTGGAGCTGACAGCCTCGCCACCTGGGCATCTGAGAATAGAATGGCAATACATCCCGACAAGGCCAAAGTTATGCTAGTTGGAACGAAGAGAAAACTCGCGACCATATCTGAGCCTCTTAACATCTCCATTTGTGGCACCACCCTATCCCAATCATCTTCCGGAAAACTTCTTGGAATACACATGGATGATTGCCTAAGTTGGAATGAACACATCTCTGCTGTTATAATGAAATTCAGCACCAAACTAGAACTAGTTAAACATGCTAAACCCTACTTAACACCTGAACGTTTACTTGTCTTATACAACAGTTTGGCCAAGCCAACTCTAGAATATTGCTGCAGTGTGTGGGGCAACTGTTCTGGGGATGTGCTTAGTCAATTAACCTCTGCCCAGAAAAGAGCTGCAAGAATTCTCGTGAACGTGGACTACACTACTCCATCCTTAACTTTGTTCCAACACCTTCAAATCATCCCTATAGTCAAAACAATCTGCCATCGCATCCTTCTACAAACCTTCAACTGTTTCCACAAAATTAGCCCACCTTGCCTCAGCACGCTTGTAGAAAAGCCAACACACCACCACTCTACAAGGGCAGTAGAAAATAATAACCTGTTTCTCCCCAAAGCCAGGACCAATGCAGGGAAACGCAGGTTTTCGTTTCTGGCTCCTTCCTTGTGGAACAAATTTCCAGACGTGGGAAAAAAACTTACCACAACACACGGGTTTAGATCGCACTTTAAGAACAAACTGGCTAAGATGACTGAATTGAACACAAAAAGATATTATTAATATAAAAACTTTAATACTGTTGATAGTTATAGATTGTTAATGTTGTGTGATTGTGATGTATCTGTGTATGTTGTGTGTTTGTGACGCATCCATGACTGTATATCCTACGTTTCTAATGAATGTTAACTGCATGAGTATTGTAATCATGTGATGTAATATATTTCTAGAAGAGGACCAGATTGGAAACAAGCTGTACTGTAGCTTTATCTGTAAATCCTCGTTAAATAAAGTGTTATTAATATTATTATTACATAAACTACACCATCCACAAATACCTTTTTTCCAAAATTTTTCAAATCCTGAATGGAAGATACAGTTTCAAATACCTGTCGACCTCTCAATATCCACTCACAGGGGAAAGGGGGAAATAGTTTATAAAAAATCGAAGTATTATTTAAAAATCGATCATATATACAGGGTGTCTAAAAAAATGCTAGGGAAATTCAAGAATATTCCAGTGGCTACCCCTATTTGAATAGATGGCGGCCATGTTGGTAATTCCCACTCACTAATAAACGCTTAAGAAACAACAATAACTTTCATCATTTGAATAGTTTGAAAATGTATTTGGAACAGGTTTAACTTAATGTTTAAGTTCCCTATTTAAGAAATAGAAAACATACAAATCTTCTCATAGGCCCTTCAAATAAAAATTGCCGGTTGAAATCACATTCTTCCGCCTTTGCGAATAATTGCATGGAAAACGAAACATAGACAATTCCCAAGAGGGAATTAAAATTGAATGTTAAACTATCTAAAATGAGCTCAACTCTTCAATCTTCATCTTAGTGAGACAATAAGAACGTCAATTATTGCATTAAACATGGTTCAATTAACGACTGAACCGAGAACATTCATAATCAAAACGTTTTATGAAACAAATACCTTGCATGCAGCAGGCTCGTGTTGCGTTTGGATTGACTAACTTTGCATAATTAATGTACTTTCAATTCCTAACGGTGGATTTGACCAGCAATTTGTGTTTGACGAGTATGTGGCCATTTCTCATAGTTACGATTTAAGAAGGTATCATAGAAAAGCTAACTAAAAGCTCTTTCGTTCTATGTAAAAATTGAATTGCTTAGCTAAGTTTATGATGCACAACAGCCTGTTGAATTTCCATAGCGTTTTTTTAGACACACTGTAGATGTTTGAAATACAAATTCTCATTATTTTTGCTCATGATTGTAGGTCCAGTTGCATCACAGGTGGCCCAATCTCTGAATATTCAATATATTTTGAATATTTATATACTAGGAGTTACTGTCGCAAGGAAATTACTGCCTCCATTGGCACATGTTAACGAAAAAACAACTTAATTTACAGTGAAACAGATATGTAAAATCACTTTAATTAACATAGACTCTCAATATACCATATCCATGATCAAAATATCAACAAAACACAAATATCAATAACAAAACATTAAATAGTTATTGTTGCCCATACAGTATATTAAACAGTTAATGGAGTACAAGACCCAAAGTTTTCTATTTCTTTAATGTATAAGGGAGCAAAAATGTCTAAATAACAGGGAATGTCAACATTGTATGCAATTGAAATTTAAATGCTCATATAAAAATTACCATAATTTGTAGATTGCTTCAGTGTCAGGTTGTGCATCTTCCTGTCACTGCTACCTGTGCACCTGGCAAGCATAATTAATTTTGGTATCCCCCCTGAATTGCTGACATAGAAACACAAAAAATCGAGATTCAAGTGTACTAAACTTGGCGCACGGTAAGGAGACTGGCACTGCCGAGAGCAAGCACTGCTGAGGTTCGGCAGCAATTAAAACTATGAGATGTATTTTAAAAATAAACGAAAAAATAAATAAAAATATCAACAATATATGTAAAAAAAACTATATGTAATAACTTGTTAATAGAATGCATTTGTTGTGTTTTTGTTCTAGTTGATGCGATTGCTTTAGTATTTCGTCGTACTAGTTAACCTGCACCGTAACAAGAGAACAAACAGTTGCCTCATTACCGTTCACATAGTTCAAATTCAAGACAAGCCTTAATTATGATATTCATTTCTTTAGTTGAGCTATATTGTAAGGTTATAATTCTTCATGATTAGCTTTGTATTCTTGATACAAAATGCTGCACCATCTATGTACAGGAAACAGTGGTGCTAATACAGTAAAAAAATTAATGGAATTTAATGTGAATGGAGACCAGCATTAATTCTTTACTTGTCAAAAAACTGGGCATTTATGCTTAATGGCTGAGTGGGTGCTGTTAAAAAATATTTCTATTCTTACAAAGCAATTTGCATGAGTGAAAAGATAAACTAAATGCAATTTCATATGCTCATGCATTTGTATCCTTTCCTAGCTGCACACCGATTTCCAACATTAGCATAGACCTGGACCTTGGCATGAATCTCGCAAAATCTCTCATGCCTAACAATATTGTTCGCAATAATGTCCCAGATCGGACCATTTTCCATATACCGCTCATGAATGACAGCTCATTCCACCTTAACTATGAGTCTAAATGCTTGCTTGGAAGTATTACTCAAGCTATGGACTATGTCTATGGTATAGTAAGCTATAACATTAAGTTTAAAAGGCATGCAAACTCTTAAAGCATGCACTGAAAACGAATTCTATACAGTGTAGACAGTCCATATCATGTGTCCTCAAGGGAGTTTCGAACAACAAAAGCACTTTGACGAAAACAACATTTCACTATTTCTCCAGTTTGTTACGATAGGTAGACTGAGATGGCATTTTAATTTATATGTTCAATAGTTGTTTAGCTCATTGAAAACAAATTGAAATATCTCCGTAACAAAACGGAATAAAAACAAGAATAAATGGAATAAAAACTAGAAATACCATATGCACTTTAAAGTAATTAAAATGCAGTACATTTGACCCTTGATAACTTTGCATGCAATTGTTGCTTTTCTCTTTTTCAGCCATATAGCAGTGGATTTGGCTCACTTTTCTCGTCATTGTGATAGTATTTCGAGACCACAATATTTTATTTTGAAGGTTTTAAAGTGCAATTTTATTATCCTAGAGTACAGTTTTTTCAGTTTATAATAGGTTTTTGGCATGACCTTAAGCTACAGGCATTGCTAAAGCATAGTTATCTAAATATAGAGTAAAAATGTAGAAATTCGAAGTTGGTAATTTCTACAAGTGGTAAGAAGTACATACATTACAATAACTATATAGGGTCAATCCCAATAAAAAATATCAAATAATAAGATCTTTTTACAAGATATCAAAAAAGTTTTTATTTAATTTTCTCAGATTAGAGAAATAGTACTTTAAAGGTGATGTAAAGTCTGTAATGTAAACAAACGCTTTGTTTACATTTTGAACTTAGTGCTACAGTTGTAAAATATGATTACATATATATATTATACTGAATTTTTAACACACTTCTGGTTCGCTATGCTTGTAAATGAATGCAGACTAGAGATTCAATTCAAGAAAGTTCGGAAGGTGTGAAATATCAACAACATTCCAAAGGTTGCTCCCCCACTGATGGAATGTGTTGATGCGCAGAATATATGCGCAGAATATATGCGCAGAACAGACTTTACAGCATCTTTAATTAGTTGACAGCAATCCCAATTTCAAGGCATCTATTTCTTTCCATAAAACGGGACGAAATATATTTCGACCAAGATAAAATAATTCTGTGTTCTGTAGATTTAATTATATATATACTAATTGTGCCTGTTCTGTGACAATGATGAAATTGTTTCTGAGAGTGGTGTAAAAGTTCTCTCTTTCACAGGACGAAATATCAGATTTAATCGCATTTAATCGTAGGCTTATATTTTGTAAACCGACCTTTGAACCTTTAAACCAGCAATTAAATGTATT